TCCTACCGCTTGCAGAGTTTGCATAAAACAACAGCTACCAATCGAGTATTTAGATGTCACCTTATGAGGCCCTATATGGGAGACGGTGTCGATCTCCAATTGGTTGGTTTGAGTCGGGTGAGGCTAGGTTGTTGAGCACTGATTTGGTTTGGGATGCCTTGGAGAAAGTCAAGTTGACTCAGGATCGGCTTCGTACAGCACAGTCTAGACATAAAGTTACGCTGATCGGAGGGCTCGTGATATAGCATTCATGGTGGAAGAGAGGGTTTTGCTGCGGGTTTTACCCATGAAGGGTTTGATGAGGTTCGGGAAGAAGGGAAAGTTTAAACCTAGGTATATTGGTCTTATTGAGATCCTTGAGAGAGATGGTGAGGTAGCCTACAAGCTTGCATTGTCACCCAGCTTATCAGGAGTTTACCCAATGTTTCATGTTTCTATGATCCGGAAGTATTATGGTGACTTGTCCCATGTATTAGATTTCAGATCAGTCCAATTGGACAAGGATTTGACTTATATTGAGGAGCCGGTGGCCATCTTGGACAACCATGTCAGAAATTTGAGGTCAAAGAATATTGCTTTAGTGAAGGTTCAATGGAGAGGTCATCCGATCGAGGAGGAGACCTGGGAGACCAAGCATGACATGTGGAGTCGTTATCCTCACCTTTTTATCACTTCAAGTATGTCTCTATACTCATTCGAGGATGAACGTTCATTTAAGAGGGAGAATATAAAGACCCGATCGTCATTTTGTGTATTTGCGCCCCATTTTTTCTTTTGATGCTTCACACAAGTGTATTTATGGTTTGATGACTTGCGGGGTTGGTTAGTTTTGTTCTGGGGGGGGGTTTTGGGTAGATTTGGACCCTTTGGTTCTTGGCTTAAAAGCCTAAGTTAGAAATATTGACCAAGTTTGACTTTTGCAAAAACGGCCCTGGAACGGCATTTCGATGGCTCTAATAGGTTTGTATCATGATTGTGGACTTAGGCATATGCTCGAAATCGAATTCAGAGGGTCGTAGGTTGATTTGTGTTGTTTTTCCGAAAATTGGCAATTTGATGTTTAGAAGAATTCCCAAGTTTGACCGTAGACTTTTGGATATTTGGTTCGGAATTTGGTTATGGGACTTGGAATAGGTCCATTATTCTATTTAGAACTTGTCTGCAAAATTTGGTGTCATTTGGAGTTGATTTGATAGAATTCGGACACTTGGTTTGCAATTCTAGAGTTTCTTGAACTTTTCTTTGAAATTCATACGTTTAATCATGCGAGCGAGTTTGTATGAGGTTTTTAGACTTGTGTGGATGTTTGATTTGGATCCCCGAGGGCTCGGATGAGTTTTAGACGTGCTTCAGAGTAGTTTTGAACTAAAACAGGACCGCTGGTGTGCTGATACCTCAGGTGTCCCAATTGCGAACACCAGCATCGCAATTCCAATCATGCAAGGGGTCTCAGGTGTCCAAATTTCGATACCTGAATCGCAAAATCAAAGAAGGTTTGAAATATGGTAGGCTCGCATTTGCGACAAAAGTGTCGCATTTGCGAAGGGAGCAGGTTTCGCAATTGTGAAGCCTATGTCACATTTGTGACTTCCAACTTAGGTTGTGAGTAGCCGCAATTGCAAGAAATCTTTCACCCTCTATCCCAGTTGCGCCATATGCAACTGAACAAAAGGTTAGAAAGTCGGGATTTCATATCATTTTCTCATATTTTAGAATCCTAGACTCTGTAGGAGGCGATTTGGGGAGGGGATTTTCATTTACAAACATTGGGTAAGTGATTCTAATCAATTTGCAACTATATTTCATGATTTTATCTTAGATTTAACATCAAATTTATAAGAATAAAAGAGATAATTGGAGATTTTTGTCAAAGTTTTAAAACATGAAGATTTGAGTTTTGAGAGTCGAATTAGACTCGGATTTGAAAACAAAACACATATATGTACTTGTGGGGTTATGGATAGTCAAAATCTACCCTTGGACCCGGATTTTGACCGATGTGGTTGACTTTTGTTGACTTTATAGAAATGTGTAAAGATTATAGCTTTATCTATCGTAATTGGTTTCCCTTGCATTGTTTGATGATAATAAGTCATTTTTATTAGATTTGAGCCGTGTGGAGGCGAATTATATTCGAGGGTTGATTTGGCCTAGTTGAGGTAAGTGTCTTGCCTAACTTTTTCTGGGAGAACTACCCCTTAGGATTGGTATTGATTGATNAGGTGACGAGTGTGTACATGGGCAATATATGGTATTTTGACCGGTTTAAACTTTTAGACTTCTTTCATGCATTTAATTGAATTTGTCATAATATGTTACATCTTTCATTGTTAAATTTCATCTCGCATGCTCTAATTGATGTTGTTAGTATTTGTTCTATCTTTTGTTGTTGTATTTTCTCTCGTATGCTTTAGTTGAAGTTACTACCTCTCTTGTTGTCTTGTTACTCCTTTATTGTTAAGTTACTCTTATTTGAAGTTCTTAGTTCATGGAATATCTTCTTGTTGAGTTATTGATGTAGAAGTTGTAGAAGCCATTATCACATTGAGGTTGAAGTTGTTAATTGTTGAGTATTTCTCATTCATTTTGATGTTATTGAGATTTTTGTACACATTATGATTGAGCCATGGGCTCTACATTGTGGTAATATTGGTATTGTTGATTTTCTCAACTGTTGTGGCATATGGACACATGTGGTGCGAGTTGATTATTGTGTTGTGAGATTGATACGCATGCAGTGGTACAAGGATAGTGGTTGATACGCATGTGGTGAGATAAGGTGGGATTTATACGCATGTTGCTAGTAAGAGAATTACTTGAAGCCACACGGTGCCATAAAGGGGCTAAAACTTGTGTAGTTATTTCGGGAAAATGTATTCAAAAATAAATGCAAGGCTCACGCGGTAATATAAAGAAAGATTGCGATTGAAATTGTGAAATGTGAATTTGAGGCGTGGTACCTCGGTTGTGATTCTTGTTGTACATTTCATGCTAAAAAAGGCGTGTTAGTTGAACATTTCTTGTTGTTTCCTTCATTGTCTTACTTGTAATTGTCCGTGTTTGACTACTTGTTGTTTTATCATGTGTTCACTACTTGTTGCCTTTACTGCTTAAATTTTCGTTGTTAGCTTACATTATTGAACTGCTTATCTGTCATTTACTTTCTCTCCTCTTTTTCCTTATCGTCTTTTGTCTCCCTCATTTGTCTTTCTCCCCCATCCCCCTCCCTCTTTCTTCTTTTTCTTCTTTTTCTTCTTCCCTTTTTTTCCTTTCCACCTTCTCTTGAATCGAGGGTCTATTAGAAACAGCCTCTCTACCTCCCCAAGTAGGGATAAGGTCTGCGTACACATTACCCTCCTCAAACTCACTTACGGGATTATACTAGGTATGTTGTTGTTGTTGTTATCTGTCATTTACTTCCTCCCTTCCCATTATTAGTCTATGTTATATTCTGTTCAGTTTTCTTATTATAGTAGGTGTCTTGACCTGGCTTCGTCACTATTTTACCGAAGTTAGGCTTGATATTTACTGGGTACCGTTGTGGTGTACTCATACTACGTTTTTACGCATTTTTGTGCAGATCCAGGTACAGTTGCCTGTGCCGGACGCTAGTTATCATTCAGTTATTTCCGGAGAATTCAAAGTATACCTACTCAATGTCTGCAGGCCTCGGAGTCACCTTCTGTCATTCTCTAATTACTGTTTATCTTCTATTCAGACAATGAGATATATTGTGATTTTAGTACTATCTGTAGAGCTTCTGACTCAGTTTCACCAAGTTTTGAAAGTATTGTAGTTGTGGTTCAATATTGAGATTATTATGAGACTTATTAGTTTATATCATGTTTTTTAGTTTTTATTTTTGTCATATTCTCTTGTTTGATAGGCTTACTTAGTCTTACAGACTAGATGTCATCACGCCATCCTAAAATGGGAAATTGGGATCGTGACACCAACAGAGCTAGATTTGTCATTGGAAGTTGTTGGGTTCAAAGTTGGGGTTAAATGCTGGGATTTTAAAGCTTGTTGAGCACATGGGAGATATGGGAATTGATTAATTGGTAAGGGATTGAGCATAGTCGGAGGGTGATTTGGAGGGTGAGGTGGCGGTGGTGGGTCAGGGGGACCAGCAGGTCCACCGCGAGAAGCATACGGTTGTCAGAATAGTACTTTGGTCTTGATAACTCATATAAAAGGGTAACTTTTGGCGAGAGGGAAGATGGATTCTCGCTCTATAACTTTTTTGACTTCAATTCTATAATTTTTTCTATTTATTCAATAAAAGTATTTTCCTTGTTACTCATTTGATGGATGTACTTAAACCTTAATTGGTTCAACTTTTATGTATTAAGTTATCACTTGTACTTTAATTTTTTCTTTACCTTTGATTTTAGGTACTCTTAATGTTAAATAGTAATTTTTAAAATTTCTAACAATGGAGTAGTTTCCACACCTTCCAAGTCCCAATTGAGGTTTGAAAGATTCTAAACACTCTTTGCATTCCATTCAAGCACATTAAAGAATCTCTTTTTAAATTTTTGACAATTATAATTGCTGAATTTTTTAGAAAAACTCCATAATTATCTCAAGCTATTACCGGTCTCATAGAATAACTTACTGAGGAAATGGACCTTCATGACCATTTACAATGTTAAAGTTAAGAAAGTGTCTGATTAGTCTTTAATGAATACTTATTAATATTTGATCCACCCTATTACCAGCTTGTATGGCTCAATGAAAAATATACTGACTACGCAAGTAGTACATGCAGCGCAAAGGGGAACTTTTCATTTGATCCCATGTTATTTTTTCACTCTTTATCTATTAAATTGTCTAATCGCAATTGTTGTAATAATGAGCTAATCTAGGGGCAAATAATATGGAATATATAGTAAGATACGTCTTGCGTATAACTGACCAAAAAACGGGGTCAACACGTGTAACCCTTATGCAGATAGAACGGCGCTATCTTTTTTATGGAAGCATAAATAAAGAAAAAGTATTTTAGGAAATAATTTGAAATAACTTGATTTTTCAGTCAATTTACTTTAACCAGAAGCATAGTTACACACCCTAGCTTGCAGGATAACACAGCTCTCAAGTAGGACCAGAAAGACCTCAAATGGTTCTGCTTTAGGTACACACTTTGCAGTTTGAGTCAAAAATCGAACTAAGCATAGTTTTAGTGGGGTACACCTAATAAAATCACATGAAATCAGCCACTGTTTGATCGTGCCTGAAAGCAATCAAGTTAGCTAACATCAGAATGATTAAAGGCATGAGCAGAAGCGATGATTCTAATATCCATCCATGTTGGTCTGCCGCAAGGTATAAAGAAAAGGCACCCTCCAATTACAAAAATGAAATATCACTGTGACATACTTTATTGTCATCATGATCCTACATTAAAAACAAAGCCTTACCTGACGAGGGGACGCCGACCTTGATCTGGACTTGGACCTGGACCTGGGTCTACATTTAAAAAGAAGGGCCCAAACCGCCAAAAGGGTTAAAAGAGGCATCCCAGACTTTATTATGAATAAAAAAACTCAGTTGTCATGTACCTAGTCGACTTCACGGGAGATGCAGATCTAGACTTCGCCGGCGGTGATCTCAAAACAGATCTTCCAGCTGATTTGCTGCACAAGGAAAAATTATGCTAGAAAACAAGAGAAAAATGAGTGTGCACATGCAACCCATTCATAATTTACAACATGAATACCTCCTACTCCTCTTCGGACTTCTGCTCCCCCTCGGACTCCTGCTCCTGCTCCTGCTCCTGCTGCGGCTTCTGGATGGACTTCGCTTGTGTTCTCTCACCTATATATAGGGACAACGAGAGTGAGCCTAAAAATAAAAATATAACTGACTGTAAAATAAAGTCAAAAATAGTACTACGTCAAGAATACATTAGGTACAGCACCCAAAAAGATAACCTAAATCATTACTACTCCATTGAATAGGGAATCCACCGCTCCATCCCAAAAACAGGGGACCCCAGAAACAATTAAAAGATAAAAAGCGACCCAGAGGGCATAGGGAAGAAAGGAAATCCAAATGCAGCACAGAAATAAACAAATACCCGGATATAGGTTCTTGTCCAAGGATTCTTGAACTCGGTATCATCAAGTTTGCGAATCTGAATAACAAGACAAAAGTTAGCTACGTGGCACTTCTCTTTCTAAAGAGTGAAAAAAGGAGCTAAAATATCCATAAGCAACTATCGACGGAATAAAAGTCAACAAAATAACTTTCATCCAGGGAAAGGTTATAAAAACTCTAATGATGAACACAAATAGAATTGAACCAAGACCTTAAGGTAACCTTGCAACTAAGGCTACACCTCCTTGATAATAGATTGGAGCATTTGATAACTAACCATTCAAAACTTATAATACCATGTAGCAAAATAAGAAACTTACAGCATATTTCATGTCATCACAGTTTGTATAGTCGACCAGGCCAAAGGTTCCTGATATGAAAGAAATAATTTAGTTTGGTCACTGGAGCAGCACAGGAACTAAACAAAACACAATAGATGCTACCCAGCTAACACTTTTCCTAACATTTTTAACTCCTTAAGCATTCATATACATTCAATTGTTTCCCCAGGATTACGAAGAAAGGTACAAGTGCAACGACATGGTTTCCTTGAAGTCTTGAACATTGTGCTAAATTTACAAGTAAAAGCATAGGACATATTAGGTCATACCTTCACTGTCACGGGAAACTTCAGCAAAGCAAACATCACCAGCCCTTCGCATATGATCCTGAGATGTTTTCCAGAGGGTTAATGCAACAAGCTACACATTCAAATCATCAAACAGAACCCCCAGGTAAACTTCTGTCACCTTCAAATCTTGCCAGGAAGCAGAAGACGGGAGGCCACGAACAATAACTGTATGATTATCACAGAAACCAGTTTTAAAAATTTAGTTAGTTAGGGGAATTAAATAAATTTAGCGATTAGAGAAATTATATTGTAACACAGCCTTCAATATAGGAAGGCATTATATAATCCCTTCAAAAGTTCCAGTGGCACCTCGATACTCAGAATGGCGAGAAATACCATGACGCCCTCCACCATCACTGCGGCCATAGCCACCACGACGATCACTTGAAGATGGCGGCCCTCTACCACCATGAGCAAGCTCAACCTATATCAAGCAGTAAAAATGTTTACCAAGATAGTTTGCATACAGAAAAATCTATCTATCACAATACAAGGAAATTTAGCTGAGCTCTTCTTACCCTCAGACGACAGCCATCAAAGTTGTAGCCGTCTCTACCCCTGATAGCATCTTCAGCATCACGAGCATTTTCAAACTGTATACAATATAACTCAAAATGATTGATTGACAATCAGGAAACGAATAAAGAAGGACAAAGTGAAGGTTCAAGTAAACATATGTTCACATAACCAACCTCTACAAAGCAATAGCAAGGAGGACGCGGGGGAATCTTCAACTCAATATCCAGTATACGCCCATACTGCAAAAATAAGAGAGATCTAAAGATCAGTAAGCAGCTATTTAGTTTTGAATTAAGAGTAAACAAGAGATAAGTAAAAATGAGCTACACTTCTCAAAAACAAGATTTTATGGCCATTACTTCAAACGCTCATACATCAGGATCTAAAATGATTAAGATTTTCACACACTTACTGAAACTCAGCTAGAATCATTGTCACCTTTCTTGACAATCTCTTACCAACAATAAAACCATTGACATGAATAGAAGAAACTCTTAGAACAAACATCTTTAACCCTTCATTTGGTTACAAGTAGTCCTGAACTCCTGACCCTGGTTATCTCTGTCTTCAGATTGTTTAGTTCATGATCGCATGGGAGGGAACCTTTTGACCAGTGTTGGGGCGAGCGTGAAGCGACGCGACAAGGCCCCAATTTGCTTAAAGCGTGAAGCAAAGCGAGCGCTTCATTTTTTTTTTAAAGACCAAAATAAACATTGCACAAAGACAATATACATAAGCACATATTCAATTATAAAACTAAATTGTAGATAGCACAATAAACAAGCAAAATCAACAGTAAATATAAATAGATCAAAGAAATAAAAAATTAGCAACCTTAATTTAAAAAATACACCAGAACAAAAAATTTTAAAAATGGAAATAATCAGCCATTATAATTAGAAAAATCTACTGAAAAGAGATAATTAAAGACCAACCGAAGAAACAGAAAAGGAAAAAAAAAGAGAAATAAAAAATTGAAGCAGCAATAATTGGGGATTTTTTTGAGGAAATCAACGACGACGAAGAAGAAGGGAAAAAATTGGAAACATTTACCTGCTTCAGCAGAGAAACAAAATAGAAGGGAAGAAGAAAGAAAAAAAATGGCAACTTTTACCTGCTTCTGCAGAGAAACGAAAGAAGGGAAGAAAAAGAAGGACAAGGAAAAAATTTATACTTGCGCCTTGATCAAGTCTTCAAGCTTCTGAAAACCCTAACTTTGTTGAGCCACACAACTTCTGAATATCCAGCCCCGGGTTCAGTCGACAAAATTAAACATTTTGTAAAGTTTTTTATTTAAATTAAACCCTTCCAAACTAAAAATTTAGTAAGGCGCACAATTCTAGCTTTACCTTTGTTTCACGCTTCACTGACAGAAGCATATGCTTCATCGAAGCCGCATCGTTTCACCCCATCTGAAGCGCTAACCTTACCGCTTCGCTTCTCGCTTTAACTGCACAAGTGACCGTTCCCCCACCTTGCTTTTGATCTCAGTAAAACCTAGAAGGGAGACAAGTTAACTAGCCTACATCTTCTTTTATGGTTACCATTGTAAAGCCTATATCACTATCACCCTTTCTTTTCCAATTATAAGTTCGCATCAATACTGAAATTTTCTTTGCTAGCAAGAGTTTGGCTTCTTATCCATACCAAGGTTGGGGAGGCGCTCGCTTCTGCGTTTAAAGCAAGAAGCGAAGCGAAACGATAGCGTTGGCGCTTCAGATGGGGTGAAGCAATGCAGCTTCGATGAAGCGTGAGCGAAGGTAAAGCGAGAAGCACGCGAATCATGCGCTTTATTAATTTTTAAGTTTGAACAGGTTTAAATTTAAAGGAAAAAACTTGCAAAATTAATTTTATCCATTGAACCTGGGACTCAACAGAAGTTGCATGACTCGACAAAACTAAGGTTTTAGAAGCTTGAAGACTTCTTCAAGGCTCATCTATGATTTTATTCCTCGTCTTCTTTTTCGTTTCTCGGCTGAAGCATGTAAATGCTGCCAATTTCTTCTTGCTCTTCTTCTCATTCTTCTTCCCTTCTTTTTCGTTTCTTTATTGAAGTAGGGCTGTCAATTTTTTTCCTTCTTTCCTTTTTCTTCTTATTTATCTGCTAAAAATCCCCAAACTGTTGATGCATCGTTTTTTATTCTTCTCTTTTTTTCTTCTTCTTCAATTAGTTTTTAATTTGCTCTTTTCAGTAGAATTTTCTAATTATAAAAGTATAGCATTACCATTTTTTTAGTTTTCATTTCAGTCCATTTTTAGTGAATTATTTTCAATTGAAGTAGCTAACTTTTATTTCTTTGATCCATTTACATTTAGTGTTGATTTTGTTTGTCTTACGGGGGCAACAACAACATACCAAGTATTATGCCACACAGTGAGGTCTGGGGGCTTGTCTTATGGAGGATTTTGTTAAATTGAATATGTGTTGATATATATTGTATTTGTGCAAGGTTTGTTTTGGTCTTTTTTTGAAAATCTCGTTTTACTTATATGAAGTGCTCGCTTCGCTTAGCTTCATACTTCACGCTTAAAGCGAATTGAGGCCTTGTCTCTTTGCTTTGCTTCTCTTCGTCCTCGCCCCAACACTGATACATAATTTTCCAAATTACAATCAACTAGTATTTGTATATGTACATGAGAAACTACAGAAATACAGGCTAAAAATGAAACAAATAAGTATATAACTATCTGCAATACTATCTAAAGCAAAATGTGAACTTCAAATTCAGGTTCTCAACTACTACATGCACTTGATGGTACTTTTTGTTAAAGATAAATAAGTGAATTGTTTTAGAGTATTTGCAATAGATTCCATATATCAAGTCTTCAATCCTGGCCTTAATTTATCTGGCCAACATTGGTAAGCTAAAGCAAGAGAAGACAAACCTTGTAGAATACATCTTCAACTTCCCATTCTTTTATATCTGCGGGAAGGTTGCCAACATAGATTGTGCGAGAAAAACGGCCACTCATTCTGAACTATGGAGGTATTATTCACTGCAATGTTGCACGTCAGTGTAACTTATAAACAGTGCAAGAACTTCCAATTAACATTGTTGAGCAATACTTATAAAAATAAATTGGATATACATTTTGATTATGTTGTATTTGATTCGACAGTAACAGATTCAAGTAGAAAAACTTTGAAGCAAACCAAGAGAGCAATCCTCGAGTTGAGTGGTACTCCACAAGCTCCATTTCTCATATGCTCCAAGATGCTCCAAAAGCTATAATTTATTTGAAATTAATATTTGGGTCTCCTCATCTTTATAAGTTTTGCAGATGATAGCTCTCCTGAAAGTGAGCAACAACCTCCCACTATATATAAATACAAAATGCCACCCTGACTTCTCCCACTCCCCATATACATCCCTATGTATTGTTCCATAGCTCATTTTTGTCCCAAGTGCTTGAAATCTATCATAAATAAAGTATTTGTGTCATGCAATAAGGTAACACAGCCATATACTTATGCATTTACCTTACCCATATCTCTTTTCTTTCTTTCCTTCATTAATTTTTTGTTAGTATCATACTCAGATTTCTTTTTAACAAAACTGAGAAAATTAATCCCAAAAGATATGCAATGTGTCCATAGCCATTTAAAGTAGCATAATGCCATTTTATTACAAATGATGTCATTTTCTCTCAACCCTGACATAAGACTAACATGCCTTTAAGTAACCCCTAGTCAACCATTAACAGTCAAACATAATTTAATTATCCCGAGAAAGAAAAAAGAGAGATATTCTTTATGACGGTGGTGCCCAATCCAACTTGTGCCCACCTCAACTATCTGCCACGTAGTCTGCTACAGCCAACATACACAAAAAGGAGTAATGTTACATTTTCGCTCCATATCAACTCTATTCCACCAGTTCATTTTTTTAGAGAAACTAACATCACTACTGTAGCGAAGGTGAATACGATGCATACCTAAATCAAGAGGAATAATGGGTTTGCTCTGTGGAGAAGGCATGGAAGTAAAGTGCACGTCAAAGAAGCATAACCCTTAAGACCTACACATATTCTAGTTTTCATATACGTATGTTTGGCATGAGAAATTGTTTTCCTTGATTAAATCATTTTTTACCATAGTCTGTTAGCTTGAATTGTGGAATATGCTATCTTGAAGGAGATAACTTCCCACCAAAAGGGGCAAAATGGCTTCTTCGTTTGCTAATATCCCAACTCTTACCACATAATTTTTGCTTCAATCAAGAATTAGATATATTTGTTATCCTTTAATGCTCAAAAATATCACCAAAGCATCATCTTAACAAAGCATCATCTTAACACTGTATCATCTTAACAACGTACATACTGAATGTTACATTATAACACCTGCTTTCATACTCTACGAGGAAAGGCCCAAACTAGTCCAGTTTCTTTGGCTTCGGCTCAAAATAATCGTGTTTCTTTCACATGGAGCACTAATAGTCCACATTCTTTAAAAAATTGGTGCACTTTTAGTCTCCGTCAAAACTTCTGTTAGTTTTTTAATGGAAAGAACCTCACATGCCAGCATACGAGATTTATTTCCTTAGAAAACAAATACTTCTACACTATTAATCTTATCGAGGTACTCTTTAGTTTGAAAAAGTGTACAGTAGCAGCAGATCGAAGAGATTTCAAGTGATAATTCAGTGGGTGTTGCATTCTTGAGTCTCGTGCTCTTCCTCTTATTTTGCTCGTTAATAATTATGAGATGCCATGTTATTGAACTGGCATTTAACTGTAAAAATCCTAAATTGTTTTATCAAGAATTCCATTAACGTATGTAGCCTTTTAACAACCATAAATCCTTATCATGGTTAGACACCGTGGTAAATCTTGGAGATGGTAATCAGAAGCTACCTTGAATGCACTATCATACCCCTTCCCTTTCACGTGAGAGCTTTGCAACTTGCAAGCTGGGAACTGCTATCTGTCCAGTTTTGATTTTATGTTTATTACAGGTATTGTGTCTAAAATCCTCGTTATTCTTTTTAGTTATTGGGAAATTTTCTTCTTAATTATCAACTTCAAAAGATAACAAGAATCAGATAAAATGCAATTCCATACTTACTGGATCCATTGAGACCACTGGAAGTTCCCTACCTTTATTTATTATCATGAGCGGAAGAAAAAGTGCAGAACTTCAACTACACACATTACCAAATTGCATTAGACAAATTGATTGAGCCTGACTTATGCAACAGGGTTTTGACTATTTGAAAGAATGTGTTTGATCGGGTTCTTGCTCAACAAAATGAGTAACTTTTGTTTTCTAAGAAATTAAATCTCATATGATGGCAGGTGAAGTTCTTTCCGTTAAAAAAACTAATAGTAGAAGTTTGAATGGAGACTATAAGTGTACCACTTTATTAAAGAATGTGGACTATTAGTGCTCCATGTGAAAGAAATAGGATTAATTTGAGTTAAAATCCAAAGATACTGGACTATTTTGGGCCTTTTCTCCATACACTAGAAAAATGGTTCAGAAAATGATTGGTCAATGTAAAAGATGTTTAGTGAAAAAAAAAATGGGACACACCTCATAGCCCATAAATGTAGAATAACAACGCTCAGTAGAAAACCCTAGGACCCAACGAAATGAACCATACACAAATAATTCACGGCATAAATGAACTAAGCAAAGAATAGACCTGTACAAAGTTCTTTTTTTTCTTGAACTGCAGACACACTGATTCGGGTAACTAGGGTTTTCCCCATTTACCTTTCTCAGGAGACAAAGTGGATGGAAAAATTAACAGAATGTGAAGAATAATCTAATGATATTACCTTTGATTTCAGTTTGATACGGTAGAGAATCCGATGAATATGACGGGAGGGAATTTCGGACTTCTTATCGGCTTCTCTGTTGCTGCTGCACTGCAGGTGAGCTCGGTGAATGTGATTTTAGGGCTAGGCGATAACGCCAAAGGTCTTTTGTATTAATCGGCACTATTTGAAATTTTATTAACCCTTTGCTCAAGTTTGGTTTCAATCTTATACAATTTACCAATTATATATTAGAAATTGAATAAGAAATATCATTTATTTTCTTATTCCTTTATACTTGTTCTCTCTCCGTATCTCTATGTGCTAGTGTACCCATCGTCTAGCTTTCTTTCTAGTAGTGTGATCTTAATAAAAGAATATAATTTTTAGCAGTGAAACTTTCACACTTAATTGGTTATTATAAAATTTAGAGTTCACAGAACAAAGATTGTAACTCAAAAGTGAGGATTACAAACATTGAAAAGAATTACTAAATTCAAGACGAAGATATTGTAGTAATTAATCAATGGATTTCTTGTTGTGTGGGGTTTTAATGGAATTTATCAATGGATTTCAATCGTTTTAACTTAGTAATTTCTTTTCATGTTGCACAATTGGTGTTCAAATTAAAATTGTCAATCAATAAATTTTGAATGTGTTTGACTCTCCATCACTGACAGCCATTAAAAAAATTTGAAGCTTTAAAATTGCATTTGGGTTTTGAAAACTCATTATTTGTTTGGATTGGGTGTTATTGCAAACAATTGAGAATATTGTTTGAAGTTTATATCTCAATTTTGAGGGTGTTTTGGTGAAGATTAGACTCGATAAGAAGAAGAAGAAGAAGAAGAAGAAGAAGAAGATATATATAATTTAAATGTTGTTGGAAAGTTGAAAAATAGAAGAAGATATATATAATTTAAATGTTGTTGGAAAGTTGAAAAATAGTTATATTATGTATGAATCGTTGTATAAAATTTGTATTTAAGTTATCAATACTATGTTTTTACATAAAATTGTTGATATGTATCAAAATTGTATTAAGAGAGTAAGTTTTGATTGGAATTTTAGAGAGGAAGAAGCACATACCACATATAAAATATATACAAATCAGATACAAAACATACAAAAGTTATATTGTATAAAGTTTATATAATAATTATATTTAAGTTGTATGATATTGTAGTTGTATTTAATTAGATAGAAATAATGTATGAAAGTTGTAGATAAATTATAGATTAGTTGTAAATAAGTGTATATTGTATAGTTAGTGTGAGCACGTGATTTTTGCCCGAATAATAATATTCCTACAAAAGTCACAAATGGACTTTTCTTTTGAGTGTTTATTATTGTAGGAATTTGCAGTAATTGTTTGGTAATTGTTTGCATTTAGTTACATTTTAGGGAATATTTAAAATTTTAAAAAAATCATGGGAAATACCTTAAAAATGTCAAATTTCATTCATTGCATTTTTTTAGGTTGATACTTGCATTTTAGATTTAAGTTGTTACTTCATTGCATTATTAAATAAAAATTTAAAATATTGGTTATTATTACATTTTAGCTTTTAGTAATTTCTTTTCATTAGCTTTAAATTAATTAGTTATTCTTATATTAAAAATAAACAATTAATGTAATTCTACAAATTAGACTTTATTTGAGCATTTTTAATTAAATTTAGTAAGGCTAAAAATCAAGAAGAAGAGAAGGAAAGGGAGCCCAATTATTGAGTCCACCCTACTTGGCCCAAATTTCGGACAGCCTTTAGCCCAAGACCCCTCTCACAATTCCACATTGGGCCAGCCCTTACCCGCCATCGCCCCAGCCAAAACCCAACCTGACCCGCCCCAATCCCTCTTCAAATCTTAGCCCTTGATCCAATTGGATCCAACGGTCCCTATTCCTCTCACTACCATATAAAACTCTAACTATAACCTTTTCCAACCCTAAACCTAGAGACTCAAATGGCGCAGGGACTATTCATTGTCTTCTTCACCCAAAATCATTCCCAATCTCGCCAAAATTCAGGCGAGTGAACCTCCATTTGTCCCTAAAATCGTTCACAGAAAGGGATTGAAAAGGAATTTCGGATTTACTTTTGGGGAGAAGGTTCGAGAAATCTAAGGGTCTATATAAGATAAGGTTTCTTTTCTTGGTGGGGGGTCTGAGATTTTTGAGAGATTTTTTGCAGAAAGGCTAGGGTTTAAAGAAACATTCTTCTTCATCTTCGTTTTCTAATTTTTAGTTTAGTTCCAGAACAAGAAAAACATATAAAAAAATGTTCATTGTTCTTTGAATCTTTTTCATTTTCGATTACTTTTCAAAAAAAAATCAGAAAAATATATATTCCGTCCTTTCTTTCTGGTGTGGATGTTGTTTGATAAAATGGGGCTCGATTGAGAGTTGCTGAGTTTGTTGTTGTCCAAAGTCTCGATTCCGCTCGGTTCCTGTTGCGATTTTCTCATTCGGAGTTTGGAATCAAAAATTTCATAATCATCTATTATTTCGGTTCTTATCAAAGGAATCTTGCTTCAACAGATTCATCTTCTTCTTCTGTTATTGTCTAAAAAAACATTAATACAAGTCAGTGATGATAGTTATAAGTTTATGGATTCCCTGACAATTAATTTTCATGATCATGAATGTTTGGATGTGATTCGGTCTCTTCTATTTCATCGCTAGGCTATCGAATAAGCTTAATATGTTTGTTCTTGAATTTGTCTTTTAATATTTGAGCTTAAGTTAGAAAGAGTGCATGAAGCTCTGTTTTTTTTTGGATTGAAGGCTAGTTGATTGGTTGCATAACCTGAAAATTATATCTTTTATCTGTTAATAACAACATTTGGCAGAGTAGTACTGTTTTTCTTATTAAAAATTATACGTATTGCAAGACACTTGATAACTTAACTTATGGGTAGATGAATGAGTCTTTTTACACAAGAATGAAATGGAGAAGTGTCAAATGTACTTGAGCTTAGAGTAGTGTGTGGTAGATTTTCAGTTTAAGGTTCTTGTTGCATTTTGTTATATGTTGCTTGATCTAGGCAAGTTGCTGAACAATAATTTCACTAAAGTGTTAGTTCTGAGTTGTTTTGAGTATGCTCTAATCTAGTTGGCTGAAGTTGTACAATTGATTGAGGTTTGGATTACTGTACAGGCTATTGAGTGTTTATGTCCATTTACCATTCTTCCTGTTTCACTTAAATGGCGAGCTATAGCGTCGAGCTCAATATTGCTAATTTTCGCCGGGGATTCTGTAGTGTTGTCATCATTGAGATGATCTTGCTTACTAAATTTGTTTATAATATAGAATGTTAAGCTAGTTTGGGTATTCATTTTAGGACTGTTAATCGTACTCAACCAACATGTTAGAGATTGGAACGTTACTGCTCTTGCTGGTTTTTTTAGTATGGGAATGGGACTAATGGTTTCTTTAGTATACTGATGAAGCTATCGTTTTACTTTGGGAATTTCATGAGTTCCGTCGGATTCCTTATGCATTACTAGATTGAGTCCTTTATGATTTCCTACTCCATTTGATGGCATAAAACGTCTCTTCATGATGATGAGTAAAACAGAACGAGTCGAAATTGACACTCCCTAAGAGTTCTTTAAATCTCAGATTTTTTAGTGTTGTGCTCAAGCATTAGAGGTGTTTAGATTAGGTGTTTCGTAATTTAATTTCTCACTTGTTTAAGAATCGGACTTAGTCGAATGCTTTTCCTTCAATAAAATTGAGGACCCTCCCTCCAATCACTTAGCCTATGGCCCTGACATCGAGATCTTAATTAGCGTAGAGAAATAGCTTGAACTCTCGTAGTTTGCTTTAGGTGCGTTAATTAAATAAATTGTCATAGCTACGTGTACGGTTTCCGTGACGTAGTTGTGACGCTTAATTTATAAAAATTCGGGGTACATTTATGTGACCTGGTCACAATTTAATCTTGTTAAATAAATAAACACTTTGTAAATTGTGGGTACGGTTCCCGTTATATGATTTGCAATGTGTAACTAGATAATTTTTTGTATGACAATTGGATTATTAAAAGCGGTTTAAAAGGGATCAAATGCACATAGGTTTCAAAAAATGTTTTAAAATCAGATAAACAGGCTAATAATAATAGTTGAGCGACCGCGCTAAAGTCACGGAACTTGGGAATGCCTAACACCTTCTTCCGGGTTAACAAAATTTCTTACCCTGATTTTTGTGTTTCGCGTACTGTAAAACAGAGTCAAACTTCCTTGATTCGGGATTCAAATTGGTTACTTGGGACACCATAAATTATCCCAAGTGACGACTCTGAATCTTAAATAAATAATCTTGTTTCGATTGTCACTTTAATTGGAAAAACTCCTCCATACCCCTTCCGATAGTAGAAAAAGGAGGTGCGATAGCTCTGGCAACTCTGCTGGGGATAAGAACCCAGAATCTCTGGTTCAGGGTTCAAGAATTCAAGCTTAGAATAATTGTTATATTTGGCTTTTATTTATTGTCTGGTTTTATTATATGTTTGGGCCTAATGTGCTAAATACTGCTTTTTACCGCTTTGATACTATTTGAACTGTATATAAGCTGCTACGAAACCCTTCTCTTCTCATATTTGGGGATGTGCACGCTGGCGTGACTCCTCTTCTGTTAGTGTCATACCTTAAATTAGGAAGAGNTTAGATCCCTAGAAGGAACGCTTGTTTGCATCATATGCATTTGACTTTGGGGACTCAACACAGGGGTTGAGTCCGTCTAGGACAGGCGTCCCCGAAAATAAAAGACCAACCTGATGCACTCTTTATGTGCTACCTGTGCATTTAATTTGTTTCGGACTACATGTTGACCGGCTTCTAGATTAAGTGAGGAAAACTAAAAAAAACAAGTGCGAAGTATGAGAGAGAATTTCATCCGTTGCCCAAAATCCGGTACCCAAAACATCCCGAAACTCTGCCGAAAAATTTTGAAAAAAGAGAGAAAAACAGTAGAAAAATCATTTCAAAGTGTTTATATTTTTCAGTTGTGTCAAAACTGGCCGAACTACGCAGGTTTGATTCTCACCGGATGTGGGATACGTAGGCAACCCTCATCGGGTCCAGCCCCGTTTTTTGAAAATTTTGGGTAAAAATATATATGAAGTGTAGACATGTGATTTTTGACCCTCCCCAAGATTTTTTATATTTTAGCATGTAAATATTTAATTTAGGC